TAGCGCCGTACTGTGGGGGCGGGGTCGAAGCGCCAGCGACGCAGCCGACCCCGTCGACGACCAACGCGTTTGATGACGCTGTTTTCTTGGGCAGCGCCGCCAAGGGTCAGGGTTTCGTTGGCGGCGTCCTGGACGTTCTGCTGGCGCGCGCGGGCCAGGGGCTACCGTTCGGCGGGCTCGCGCCGGCGCAGCTCGAGGCGATCGTGAACGCGGCGTGCCGCCGCGTGCAGCTGGTCGCGGCCTTCGCGCCGCGCTGCCTTCGTCGTGGCGGCGCTAGCCGTGACGCGCTGGAGAAGTCTGAGGATTTGCGCGCGGTCCAGCGCGGGGGCCGCTGGAAGGCTCGCGAGAGCGTGCGCCAGTGCGAGAAGGCCGGCCGGCACTTTGCTTCGCGCGCGATCGCAGTTCCCACGGCCTTTCCTGTCGAGGGGCCTTCGCCTGGGCCCCGCCCCCCCAGGCGAGCTGCGCCTTGCCCTGAGAGAACGTGGTCGCCCAGCGTGATGGGGGCCTCCTGTGTTGTCCTGTTGTCTGATTGTTTGTTGCAAGCTGTCGCGCTTCGCCCCTTCCGACACGCCCTCGACAGGCCTGCCACGACACAAGCATGGCGTCTTGTTGTTATGGAGTTGGCAAAGACAGGGTGCGATGCGCGTGTGCTGGGGCCAGTCTTCAAAGCGCCTTTTTGGCCAGCGCAGCAGGCCGCTCTGGAAAATTGGAGAGCCGGCATTTGTGTGATCATCCCTTCTTTCTCTGCTCTCTTTGTCCGTCTTGCTTCGCTCCTCTCTTTGCCATTGCAGGGTGAGAGGCGCTGCGCGGGCGTTGCATACTTGGTTTATATACATTTTTGCGACGCCTCAAGGAGCCTCTCAAAGCGGTAGATAGTAGAGGCCCTCGGAGGCCCTTGTGCCCATGCCTGTGTATTCTGCGGCCCCCTGCGGCTCAAGGAGTTCTGGCGCCCGCCCTCCCAGCCCTTGGGATTGGCGAAGACAGGGTGCGATGCGCGCGTGCTGGGGCAAGTCTTCAAAGCGCCTTTTCGGCCAGCGCAGCAGGCCGCTCTGGAAAATTGGAAAGTCGGCAATTGTGTGATCAGCTCGTCTTTCTCTGTTCTCTTTGTCCGCTCTGCTTCTCTCCTCTCTTTGTCGTGGCAGGGTGAGAGGCGCTGTGTGGGATTGGGATTGTTTTATAGACGTTTTTGCGAGACCTCAAGGAGCTTCTCAGGGCGGTAGATAGTAGAGGCCCTCGGAGGCCCTTGTGCCCATGCCTGTGTATTCCGCGGCCCCCTGCGGCTCTAGGAGTTCTGGCGCCCGCCCTCCCAGCCCTTGGGTTTGGCAAAGACAGGGTGCGGTGCGCGCGTGCTGGGACCAGTCTTCAAAACACCTTTTCGGCCAGCGCAGCAAGCCGCTCTGGAAAATTAGAGAGCCGGCATTTGTGTGATCATCTCGTCTTTCTCTGCTCTCTTTGTCCGTCTTGCTTCTCTCCTCTCTTTGCCATTGCAGGGTGAGAGGCGATGCGTGGGTGTTGCATACTTGGTTTATAGATGTTTTTGCGACGCCTCAAGGAGCTTCTCAGAGCGGTAGATAGTAAAGGCCCTCGGAGGCCCTCGTGCCCATGCCTGTGTATTCTGCGGCCCCCTGCGGCTCAAGGGATTCTGGCGCGCGCCCTCCCAGCCCTTGGGGTTGGCAAAGACAGGGTGCGGTGCGCGCGTGCTGGAGACAGTCTTCAAAGCACCTTTTTGGCCAGCGCAGCAGGCCGCTCTGGAAAATTGGAGAGTTGGCGATTGTGTGATCATCTCGTCTTTCTCTGCTCTCTTTGTCCGTCTTGCTCCTCTCCTCTCTTTGCCATGGCAGGGTGAGAGGCGTTGCGTGGGTGCTGCACATATATATATATATATGTATATATATATATATATCAGCAGTGATGGCACCACATCGATTGTACTACGCATATTGCTCATCACATGTTGCATACCATATGTGGCACCATACATATACATTGCCCACCATCGATTGTAACGCATATATATATATATGCCTTTAATATCAGGGCCACATAGATTGCACCACACATATTGCACAACACACGCGTACACATAAGTATACCGATACACATCTATCTATACACATGTAGATTGCGCGCCACATTGAGGGCACTACGTAGAGTGTCCCACACATATTGCACGACACAAACTGCTCCACGTCGATTGCACACCATATGCTGCGCCACATATGTAGCATCCTAAATACCGCGCAGGTTGCACAACATCGATGACACCACATAGGTGGCATCATGTATATATGTTGCACCACATTGCACCGCACTGGCTTCCCCGACGTAGCTTGCACACCATATCCACTTCGTCCGCGGAAAGCCCCGCCAACGTGCCTTTGCAACAACGCTGCAGGAAAGAGGCGGAGTTTACGAACAACGCAATTCCGACAAACTGGGATCCCACGCGCAAGCCGTCACATGTGACATGCCGAATGTTGATCATGCGCGGAAGCCGTCACATGTGACACGGCGAAGGTGGGTTACGCGCGGAAGCCGTCACATGTGATATGTCGACATGTCGGGCGTGGGTCACACGCGAAAGCCGTCACATGTGTCATGTCGGGCGTATGTCGCGCGCGGAAGCCGTCACATGTGACATGTCGGACGTTGGTCGCACGCGGCAATCGTGATTGGGACGGGTCGCGATTCCGACTTCGTCTTCGTCCGCGCGACAGGGCGGAGGGCGGAGGAAGGGGAGGAGGAGCAGGACGAGGGGGAGGAGGAGGAGGAAGAGGAGCAGGAGGAGGGGGAAGAGGAGGAGGAGGAGGAGGAGGAGGAGGAGGAGGAGGAGGATAATCAGAAGGAGGAGGAGGAGGAGGAGGAGGAACAGGAGGACGTGGAGGAGGACGAGGAGGACGATGAGGACGAGGACGAGGAGGAGGAGGAGGAGGAGGAGAGGAGGAGGAGGAGGAGGATGAGGAGGGGGAGGAGGGGGAGGAGCAGGAGGAGGAGGAGGAGGAGGAGAGAGGATCGGAGGAGGAGGAGGAGGAGGAGGAGGAGGAGGAGGAGGAGGAGGAGGAGGAAAAGGCTTCTTGGGTCTTTCTTGCGGCCTCCTGGGCCTCCAGGGAGTTTCCTGATAGCCTCGTGCGGGCCTCAGGGGGCCCTCTTGGGGGCCTCTCGGGGCCCTTTCGGCCGTATCGGGGGGCTCTTGGCCCGTCTGACGCCTGCGGGGGTCGCTTTCGGGGCCGTGCCCTCTTGGAGCGCTTCCACGGAAGTCTCGGTGCTCTCTTTGGGAGCCCCTTGGGCGATCTTGCGCCGGCTTCGGGCACTCTTTGGGGGCCTCTCTCGCTGTCTCGGAGCTATCTAGGAGGCCTCCTGCAGGCTTCTCGGGCCGTCTTGGGCGGTCGGAAGCCCGAACAGGCGAGAACCTCAACATCTTTCAAACACCGGAGGGAAATCAGTGGTTGCGGCCACCCCTCGCGCTGTCCAGGAAGGCCTCTTGGAGCTTCTTGAGCCGTCTTGGCCGCCTCTGGGGCCGTCTTACGGCCCTCCTGGGGGCATCTTGGGTCGTCTTGAGACCGTCTTGAGAGGCTCTTGAACTATTTTGGGCCATCTTGAGTCGATCTTTTGTCGTCTTGGTTGTCCTGGAAGCCATCTTGGGGGCCATTTTGGCCGTCTGGAGGCCGAAAAGACCGCCAGAAAGCAATTTCAGAGGAGGCGGTTCTCGAACCACGCGCGCCGTGCAGGGGCAGGAGGTGGCGCTAGAAATCTTCAACACAAACCTCCCAGACACCAGGCGAGCATTCTAATACGCCCACTCCGTGCAGGCACGGTGGCGGATATGCACACTCTTTGGAGCCTACGCTTGCTACCATATGTCTGTTATGTGTACATTTCAACATATGCGTCTATCTATCCTGGGCCCCCTCCTCGTTGGTTTGTTTGCGCTCCCCCTTTCCGTGCAGCTGCGTCGATTGTTAAGAGGCCTCCGCTCAGCCTGCTCTGGCGTCTGTTCTGCATCTCATACGGCACATTCGCGCTGCGGCGACGCCGCGGCGATGCTGGCGCGGCCACTGGCGGCCTTGTTGAGCGATCTCTGTTGTTGGATACAGTCGGCACGTTAGGCAAGAGACCGGTCTGTCAGCAGGTGCCCCGCGGATTCTCTTGTCCCCCAGTGGCCCCAGGGAGCTTCGGGCCCTCGAAGATCGACGAAGAGTGTGCCCGAGGATGTCTCCCGGCGAGCTTTCTCATCCCCCGAAGACTTCACGCAGCAGGTTTTCTTATCGCGTGGGCCTGCTGTGGGGGAGATCGCTCAACATTGAAGGATCCACGGCGTGGCTCCTGCAGTGACGATCGCGGCGCGGGTATCCGACGCCACGTGGATTCCACGCGGCCGTGTGCGCCGCGCCGTCGCTGCAGGAGCCATCCGCAGCCTGCCTGCAGCTCTGGCCGGCTCGGTGTCTGCACGAGGTTCTGTGGGGACGCCTGCCAACGTTTCCTGAGGCCAGGCTTTTCTCGACCGCTGCCCGGGCACGGGGAAGGATCCGGGGAGGCAAAGGTACCGATACCGCTGCCCTTCCGGTTTCGTCTTTTTGGGCTTCCTGGGAGGCTCTCGTCGCCACGGCTTGATTCGCCTCGAAGTTCTGGTCAGAACGCACCCCAGGAGAGGTCTGAGGACACCAGTACCTCTTGGCCCCCCATCACGACTCCCACCCAGAGGTGGTGGAGGGCAGAGGGCTGTTAGGGGTGGTGGTGGTGGTGGTGGTGGTGGTGGTGGTGGTGGTGGTGGTGGTGGTGGCATAGACTGCACCACGTATATTGCACCACATAAATTGTACAATGTAGATCGCGCAACCTAGACTGCACCAAATAGAGTGCACAGTATCGATTGCTAGACATACACTGATTGGGGTCCACGCTGGCTGACATTTCATTGTTCGTGTCTGATGCCCCTCAGGAGGCGCGCGTGCGTGCGACGAGGCTCCTGCCCAACGGTGGGGGCGCCCCTCCCCCGCAAGGCCCGCCGCAAGAACGAGAGTCCCGCCCACGGCTGCCGCGATCATCCCGGGGGAGCCTGCACCGGGCGGCTCGGCGGGAGGAGGAGGAGTAGGAGGAGGAGGAGGAGGAGGAGGAGGAGGAGGAGGAGGAGGAGGAGGAGGATGTTCCTCTAGTCTCGAACCTCGAGCCTCGGCTGTGCGGCCCTGATCCTCGATCCTCGAGCCTCGAACGTCGGGCCTCGATCCTCGAGCCTCGATCCTCGAGGGGGTGCCGCGATCCTCGAGCCTCGATCCTTGGCGGGCGGGCGGGCCCACGACCCGCGACCGCTGCCGCAGGCTGCGCGGGCCGCTCCTGACGGCGCGAGAGGCCCAGGCTTCGTGCGGGCGGACTCGTTCGATCCCGTCGCCGTGTCTCCACGGGTTCGGCCTCGGGCGAGCGTTTTCGATTGCTCGCCCCCAGCCCCCGAGTTCCGTCCGAACAGTTCGGCCGTTCAGAAGAGGGGGGGGAACCCTGGGATATACCCCACGGGGGGCTCTTCGGACGCACCCCTGTCGAGGATGGACGCCACCCCGTCGTATATCCCAGGCTTGGGCCCAAAATGTTTGGTCCAGTCGAACTCCTCCCAAAGCCTGAGATAGGGGTCGACAAATCCCATGTTATTTCAGGTTTTTTGGGCTACCAAACCTGGATCCAGAACGACAGGCCACCCCTGGGGGCGGGGGCGGTACTTCCTGGGGCCCAGGGGCTGGGACAGTCTCACCCTCGAACGTCCTGAAGGGCCCCAGGAGGGGGGCCCTACAAAGGTGTACTTTTCTTCTTTCTCCCCCGATCACTGCTGCCCCCCCCCCCCCTTCCCCACACACCACAGAGCAGTGCCCCATTGGCTGCGACCAGAAGGGTCCATACAGTTGGGGCGCTGCAGAAGATTGCCTTAGGTTTTCCATAGATTTTCGATGTGAAATCGAAGTTGAACTTACAGTGCCGTTTTTAATACATGCTCCGCGTGCGGATCATGTATTGAAAATGCAGGGATTCAGTACTAAACGCAACGATGAGTTCATGCATAAGTTCATTCATACATTAATCATGTATTACAAGTCATATATCTTAAAACATTCTATGTATTAAAAACTGCCCTGTATGGAGAAAAGGAGCCTCGTTCCTCGCTCGTTTTGGGCCTCCTCTGGTCCACGCTCCGACTGTACGCCGCCCCGGCTCCCAGGATGGCCCTCTGGCCAGCCGCGAAGGTGCCCAGCGGACTTCTGCTCGCGGAGCGCCTCGGCGCCTGGGCGGCGGCGCGCGGCGCCGCCCTCCTCGAGCATCGAGGTCTGAGGGCCGTTGAACTTCTTTGGGTCGATGTCTGAGGATCGAGGTCTGAGGATCGAGGTCTGAGGTCTGAGGTCGAGGTCCTGGGCCTCTTGCGGCGTTCTCGCAGCCACGTCTGGACCCACCTGGAGATCGCACCCGATCTCCGACGATCTGATCGTTTGAATCCGGGCGTTTTTCCTCGATCTCGGCCCCCCGGGGGCTGTTATCGGGCCCCGGGACCATCAACAAAAAGGATCTGGGGCGAGAAATCACCCCCGAGGAAGCGGCCGGGACCTCCAGGGCCGCGGATTGAACAAGTCACATGGGCGGATGTCGTGGGTGGTCGCAGCGTCGCTCCACGAGAGGTGCGGGGGGGGGTCGGCTTTGGGGCCCGGGGCCCGCACTCTGAAGCGCGGCGGCCAGTGTTTCCACCTGTTCGTGCCTTGGATGGCTGTTCTGGGCCTCCCCGGCCGTCGACAGGCGACCCGCAGCGAGGGCCTGCTCCCAGGGAGGGGGAGGGGGGTCGGGAGGTCCGAGGGCCGCGCACCGAGAAGCAGGTCGCGGCACGCCGCCCCAGGGGGCCGCTGCGCTCACCAGCGTTCCCGCCCCTCGGATCGTGCTCCCTGCTCCCTTCGGAGGCCCATGGGGTTGGCACCAGCACCAGCATCGGCGGTGTGCCTCCACCGAGGGAAGGCGATCCCGACCCTGGTGACGATGGTGGTGCTGGGGCTTCCCAGGTGGCCGATCGATTGCCACCAGCATCAGCGTCCAGGATGAGCTCCCCCCGTTGGAGGCAACTGCTCCTGTACCTGTCTGTCCACACTTCAGGGCAGTGTGGCGATCTCTGTGCGAACCCTAGATGATGAGAGCAGGTCGAGACGGTCGATAACGAGCAGGAATTGGCTGATGGTCTTCTTGCAATCCATACGGGATTGTCATCATAGCCCAGCACGGTGGTGGCCCATTTACCTCCTTGGGGGTCAGCCAGGGCTAGCCGCTGAAGTGGGCCGCCGCTGCTCTTCGATCCGCCGTGCCTTCGGCAGGGCGTGGCATTCGGCTCAGGGGCTCGGGGAGCTTTTGACATTCCTGATATCCCGGCTTCTAATCTTGTTCACAGCGGGCGAGCTTGCCTTGTTTGGGATCCCGGGGCCCTCACGGATCGATCAGGCTCGAAAAATGCAGTAGAAAGATTGGGTCCAGGGTTCCACTCGAGTTTTGCTACGAGGTTGCGAACTTTCATGACATCGGCTCTCGGGGTTGTCGCGTGCCTTGCCTCGCTAATGCGGGGTGCAGGTGGCCGCGGTGGCCCCACACATCCATCAGCCGCGAGGCGTTGGTCGGAGGAAAGGGGGATTAGGAAGGGTTTTGGACATCAACGGCCACGGACCCCTCAATAGGGGCGAAGAACGTGATGAAGAATCCAAGGAATTCTGCCACCACGAACCAGAAGTAGGCAGCGAGACATTCAAGAACGACAACCGATCCGTGGCTCGTCCAATTCACTTGTTGAGAATTGAGCTTATCGAAAACGACCTTCAATATTGAAGTTCCAGCTTGGGAATCTTGCTCCCTGGCCGTCCAACCCAATAATTGAGTTTGGAACTCCAGATTGAATTATTACACGGGGTTCAAGTCCGAACCTCGAGATTGACCTGTTGAATTATTCAAACTTCGTAGTAATAGTCCACCCGCCCACGACGATGACACTCCAAAAGCACGGCCGTGGCGGCAGGGGGAGGGGCTAGTGACGCGATGTACTGTGGACCATCGGTTTTGGCTCCTCCGCCGGGCCTTCAGCTCCTGGGTTCATATATGGCCGCCCCGGGGGCCAGGGGGCGCCAGAAAAAGCCAGCTGCACGAGCTCATTCGCCCCCGCCCACCCATTTGGAGCCTGTTTTTTTTCTAAGGTCTGGGCGATACCGGCCGCGATCGGCCCAATTCCCCCCCTCCCTCCGGATCGCGTCACGCGATTCTCCCCACATTCGCAGCAAGATGTCCTACGGAGTCTTCGAGGAGTTCCTGAGATCTCCGGCGGACCCCCGCCGTGATGTGCTGTGGTCGGGGGGGACGAGCTCCCCCGCCACCTCCCCCGATCACGCCCGTTATCGCGAGTAATAAAAAATGCTCTTTACTAGCGTGATGGCGCCCGATCGCAACCACCCACGACCGATCATAACTACTTGACACCGGTCACAGCCAGTTGTGATCGACCCCTTGGGGTTGCGACGAAACGGGCGTCTCTCAATACATAGCATGATTGTGAAGGGTATGGGTGTCGATACCGTCCCAGGATATAGTAACAAACACCTTTTAGTGGGCGCTGCGGATTCTGAAGATCAGGTTGCGGCCTCGACGATCCAGAAGGTATCGCTGGGTCGATCCTTCGCGTTGACAATCGATAGCCATTTACGCGCCGCTTTCCAAGACCAGGATACAAGACGGAACCGTACTTCGTCCACAAAGCCGTCGAGGTATTCAATGGTTCTGGAAAACTGAATGCTAACGCCATTTTGAGCGCCCATGCTGACTTGCAGCAAGCACCAAACGGGTGGGGCTTGGACGGGACGATGTCGTATGGTGCCAAACATTAAAGTATTGCGCAAACTCTGACAACGTAAAGCGCCACAAACTTGATCGCGGCGCAGGCTTCCCCATACTTCTTCCATGGTCCTTTGTGGGTCTTTTTCTAAGGTTTTGCAGGACCTCTCAGCAGCCTCTCGGTTGCCTACCAGAAGCTTTTCAGGTATCGCAGAAACCTTGAAGGCACTCCGGAGAAGCCTCCTTTAGGCTATCAGGAGCTTTTCAGGCGCCTCTCAGGAGCCTCCCAGCTGCCTTTCAGGAGACTCTCAAGATATTCCCATACGCTCGCAGGAGGCCGCTCAGAAGTGCTCAAGAGGCCGCTCAGATGTCCTCAAGCTGCCGCTCAGAGGCTCCCACAGGCCGCTCAGAGGCTCTGAACAGGCCGCTCAAAGGCTTTCACGAGTCAACTTTACGCTTCCAAGAGGCCTTCCAGTGGCCCAGAGTTCGCTCAGAGGCTTTCAAGGTGCCTTTCATAGGACCTCAAGAGGCCGATCCAAAGAGCGCCTGAACGACCATGGCACAGGCACTTTCAATGCTGCTTTTATCCAACCCTTTCGGTTGTTGCAATCGGTGCCGACCAGACCTGTGAACAGGCCGAGGTGGTTGCGACCGATCTTACCGTTCTTTGCTACCCCGCTTTCGTCCGATCCGAGAGTTCCTGATGTACGTGTCGTCCGAGTTTTCGTCATCGAGCGCCCCAGCCTCAACTCACCCCTCTCTTCCATGCCTGGCTGGTCGAGGAGACTCCGTCGCACTGAGGCCTCATCCAGAACCTGCAGCAAACCTATGAGGACGAGGCGGGCCGTACTGACCCCAGGGACCTTGGGTCTTGCGAGGTCGAGGTGGAGGAGGATGGGGAGGAGGAGGAGGAGGGGGAGGAGCAACATGGTGCGGGTCGGTCCCGTCAGACTGACATTGCGGCCGTTCGGACGCTGCCAGCTGATATTGTTTATGAGAAGGGTAGCCGATCTGAGGAGGATGGTGGGGAGGAGGCGGAGGCGGAGGAGGAGGAGGAGGAGGGGGAGGAGGATGAGAAGGAACAGACGGACAACGAGGGCGGGATGGTGAGCAGAGGAGAGGAAGAATACGATTGGAAGGATTGGATTATGGCGAGGCAGGGGCGGAGGCAGGCGGCAATACGGGGGGGGCAGATGCAATATACGGATGTGCATTTTTATTCACACATATGTCTGTATGTATATAATCATATATATATATACATACATACATACACAGATACGGAGCCATCACGGTGTTTGTATCTAGTGTCCTTCGGCTCATCTTGCCACCGCGCCTGAGTTGTAGGTCAGAGGCCTTTTGGATGCTTGTGGGGATCTGTTAGAGAGCCTTCGGATCTCTCGGAGGAGGCTTTGGGGTGTCTCGGGGCCTCTCGGGGCCTGGCTTGGGCCTCCTGGGGGCCTTTGGGAGGCCTGCGGGCGGTCTGCGTGGGCCATCTTGAGGCGGGGGGCTCAACTTGTCAGGTCGAGTTCCCCCTTGCAGGGCCCTCTTGGGCCGTCTCTCTTGGGTCGTCTTGCGGGCCGCTTGTGAGGACTCTCTGTCCGTCTCGGGGCGATCTTTGGGGTCTCTTGGACCGTCGCGGACGCTAGACTCTGTCGATAACCAGAGAGCAATCAACCACGTTTGCCGTTTCGGGCCCTCTTGGGGGGGCTCTTAGAGCCCTCTTGTGGCGTCTTAAAGGCCACTTGGGCGGTCTTGAGGCCATCTTGCGCGTCATGGGGAGCTCCTGGGCCGTGTCGGAGCCCTACCTGGGGAGCCCATCTGGTGTGTCGAGCATGCGCGACTCAGCAGAGCCTCGCCAGTCTGTGTGAGACCGTTTTCCTGTGCGCTGCTCCCACCGCGTCTGATAATGGTTCTTGTGGATTACCGTAGAATGTTCCCCTCCACTTTCGTGCATGGCTCTCGGACTTCCCGCGCAGTGCCGCTCCTGGCACAGCGTCTCCATGCCCGCGCGTGCGAAGGTCGAGGAGCTGAAGTCGCACCGCAGTGACATTATCGGCCGGAGCAAGGACCCCGCGCGCACCGCTCCCGGCGTTCTCTCCGACGCTCTGGCGGCCCTGCAGCGCGGGGCCCTGGGGAATGTTGCAGCTGCTGGGCTTGGTGGACCAGCCGATGCAGCAGCGATCGACACAGCCAAACCCCACGGACGCCCTCGTCCTCTGCGATGGGGTTCCAGCGTCTTCCCCTCCTCCTCCTCCTCTTCCTCCTCCTCCTCCTCCTCCTCCTCCTCCTCCTCCTCCTCCTCCTCCTCTCGGCTGCATTTCCGAGTGATCTCCGGGCCGGACCCAGGCACGCAGAGAGGCCGCCATTGTCGCAGCGACCGGCAAGAGCGCCTTGCACCAACGGCCGCTCCTCGCCTGAGGGGCGCCCGTGGCGCCCAGACCCCCGGCGCCATGAGTTGTTCACGACGTGGACCGCCAGAGGCCTGTAGGAGGAGAGGGAGGAGGAGGGGGAGGAGGAGGGGGAGGAGGAGGGGGAAGAGGAGGAGGAGGAGGAGGAGAGGAGGGAGGCGGAGGAGGAGGAGGAGGAGGAGGAGGATGGACCCCTTCCCCAGGACCGATTCTTCCACCCGAGCCGTTCTTTGACGGTCTTGGGGCCCGGCAAGGACCTCCAGAGCCCGAAAATTATCACCCTGCCGTCGCGATGCTGTTTCAGGGCGCGAGGGGGTCCAGGCGGGCCGCTGGAAAAAGCAGGCTCGGGCGGGGCTAGGACATGTCACCGAGCGCGTTCCACTACTCGCAAAGTGTCTACTTGCAAACGTCCAAAAAATAGAATGCTCCATGCAATGGAGCTTGCTTGCCTCGATGCAATGGATCCAGGCCGTCTGCGAGTAGCTACTTTGCGAGTCGCGGAACGCGCTTGCCGAACATGGGCAAATCGGCTCAAAGCGTTCCAGAGCGCTCTCGAACGGCCCAGGCGCCGATACATCCTCCAGAGCCGCAGAATCTCAGAATATTATCCCTGTCTTGGCCTCGTCTTAGCCAGGGTCGGCGGGGTGGGCAGCGTGGCGTCCCTCACCGACTAGGGGATGAGCAGGAGAAGGAGGAGACGGGAGGAGAGAGGAGGAGCAATGTTAGGGGGAATAGGCTCAGGGAGGGATGCGTCAACCCACGCTCGCCCATTGATCGCCGATTCGGGCCTGGTAGTCAACCATGCCCGCACAGAAAATGTTCTGGCTTGGGCGCCCCCAAACGGTGTAGTAACCGCACCACGTGGTGAGTCCGTCGGGATTCGGGGTCATCGCACGGTTTTGGGTTTTCTTTTCGTTCTCCGAGGATGTCTCGGGCAATTGGGGGTCTCTAGGGTCCCGAAACCTTGCGGTGATTGACCGCGCGGTGACGTCTTTTCTTGTGGTTTGGAGGTCACCGCGCGGTCTGTCATCACGCGGCTTTGGGCCCCCGAAGGGTGGGATGCAACTCCTGGGAGGTTTAATTCAGAATCGGCGCTGGTAGCTCCCTGGCCGAACACTGGCTTAATCCAGCCTGATCCCGCTCAGTACGGCTTAATTATGTTTAGTCCAGCTTAGTCCCGTGCTGCATCCAGCCTGATCCGGCTCAGTAGCACTTCAATCGGGCTTCATGCCTTTTAATCGCTCTGCCGAACACATCCCAGGAATTGCCTCCTACAGTCAACGCGCATAGTAAGGATGAGCGACTCTCCAAGGTTACCTTTGCATCCTTTTTCTCGAGCCCATCCTTGGGCACTCTTGCTGGCCGCGCCCTGCTCGAAAGGTGTCGACATGGCCTTCCAAGGCCCTTGTATCCTTACAGTCAACCTGGCATCGTTCGGACGTGTGCATCTTCTCCGCGAAGACATTCGGGAAGCATCCTGGACCCTCGAGCAGAAAACACGCACGAGACCGAAACATGCACGGGGGAATGGACGTGCCAGCGATGGCAAGTCAAGGCGCTGAAAGAAGGATCACTTATGGGCCCAGGAGAGGGGCTCCGAAAGATCAGCTCAAGCCGCCAAAACTGGTTGCTGATCGCACTGCCCCACACTGGTACATCCACCATGAGTGACGCGCCGGCTGCAAAGGTAAACATAATTGCCACCGCGATCGTCGATCACAAGTCTGGCAATAACCTACGTAGATCTTTAGAAGCCCCCCCCCCCATAGGGGCTCCGTTCCTTGTCGGGCCGTTCCCTGGACCCAGGTCGGGGAACCCGCCCGTGGCTGGAGCACTCCGCGGCCAGGGTTAGCCCCTTACGTTCCCCGTGCCGCGTTTATCGTACGCTGGCACGCTGACTGCGTCGTCTGCACCCTCCAGGATCCATTTCGATTCCGTCGGCCCGACTCGATGTCTCTTTTGGCCAGCCTGATCCGATCCGACTCGATTCCGAACTCTCGACAATCCGAAGCGGCTCGATGCTTGCACGGCGCTGCTGTGCATCCTGGCGCAGCCAATCCGATTCAATTTCTCGAGTCCGTGCCGATGCAGCCCGCTCCGATGCACATTTCGATTCGATCTGGTTTATCGATTCGATGTTGACTGATCCTGCCCTCGTTACATTCGGCGGTGAGCCTGGGGCGGAAGTGAGGAGGGGCGGGCCTTCTCAGAAGGCTCGGAAGGCCTCCGGCCTCCCAAGAATTGTGCTAAGTCTTCCTCGGAGACAGAACAGCACTTTCTCAGAATGTCAGAGGGCTTCTGAGAAGCCCCGCCGCCTTCTGAGAAGGCTTCCTCCTTTTCACTTCCCCCCTCGCTCGCCGCCGAATTGTCTCACCTCGCCCTCCTCTAGAAGGACCCCCTCGGTCCTCCAGCTGGCGCTCGAGCTCCAGCCTCCTCCTCGTGGTTCTCGTGGCGTGAGGAGTCGTCGACTGCCTCCGCCTCCTCCTCCTCCTCCTCCTCCTCCTCCTCCTCCTCCTCTCCTCCTACCCCTCTTCCTCCTCCCTCCTCCCTCCCTCCCTTCCTCCCTCCTTCTCCTTCTCCTCCTCCTCCTCCTCCTCCTGCTTCTCCTCCCTCCTTCCCTCCCTCCTCCTCCTCCTCCTCCTCCTTCTCCTTCTGCTTCTCCTCCTCGTTCTCCTCCTCCTCCTCCTCCTCCTCCTCCTCCTCCTCCTCCTCTTCCTTCTCTGCTCCTCCTCTACTCCTCGCTCGCCGCCGCTCTGCGCCTCCTCTCCGCTGGCTCCAACCCATCGCGCCCTGTCCTGCAGGACCTCGAGCGGGAGCTGGAGCGGGCGCGCGGCGAGGCCGAGGCCTCCGGCCGGCCCCCGCCCGCCCGCGAGAGCACCGCGCCTCGGCCGTCGCGGGCGGCCGCCCCTCGGCGCGGGCGCCCTTCACAGGCCAGCCACAACTGGGGGAGTTGTGGTCCTTACTCCCCTGGGAGACCCATCGATTTCGACACCCCTCTCGAGAGATCGTCGAGGCGATGGGTTCCCCCAGGGGGGTAAGGACCACAGCTCCCCCAGTTGTGGCTGGTCGGCTTCAGCGGAGGGAGCGGGGGCCACCCGCTCGAAGGGCGCGGCGCGCCCCCCCCCCCCCCCCCCCGCGCGGCCTCCTCGGCCTCCTGCGGCCGCGCGCGGAGGGAGGCTCCCGAGAGGCCTCCCGAGAGGCCTTCCCCCCTCCCCCTACCCCCTACCCCCCTGTGCGCGCCGCCAACTCCTCGCCCTCCTCGACCCTTGAAGCTGTGAAACAAATCACGGCGGGAGTTGTTGTTGTTGTTGTTGTTGTTGTTGTTGTTGTTGTTGTTGTTGTTGTTGTTGTTGTTGTTGTTGTTGTTGAACATTATTTCTTCTAAAGCATAATTATTGTTGGGGCCCCTGGTGCGCGCCCCCCCCGCCGCGCCTAGGCCGCAGCCACATTTTGATCATTTTCGTGAGGAAGTCTCAGGCAAAACGTGGGTGTCCGGATCCGGTTGTTTTGTTGACGCCCGCTTTCCCTTGCAAAAAACACTATAAAATGAAATTTCTTGTTCTAACATACCAAACTTCAAGAATCCTTTGCAAAAAATGACACGAAGTGCACACTCGCGCGCGCAAGATGAAATCCTTCCAAAACCTTAGTTTTCGTAGTGATTTTAACATAAAAACATGAAAAACCCAATGGTTTTTCAAAAAAAAAGTTTCAAACATTCATCCCGCGCGCTCTTGCGGATTTCTTAGGAAACCCAATACTTTTTCAACATTTCTGTCAAACGGGCTCTTGCGAGCAACTTTTTCACGTGCTTCGAACTTCTGCAACAACGGTTGCGCGCCTGCCAGGGCCATCATCCCTGTCAAATAATACCATATGGGACACATTCGTTTTTTCTTCGCGCGCGCACGCCGAAATCTTCAATTGCAGGGGGAAAAGTCGTATACTAAGCTAGCTTACAGAAAATGTTACCACAACAAGTCATTGTACCCATGCGCCAGTGTAGTAGCCAAGGTCGTCCGCAGGCCACGAAGTGAGGTGTCCGAACGTCATAGGGCGGGAAGCTGGGTGTGGGTGGTGGCGAAGAGTCGTTTGGAAATTGGTAGAGCTTGAACCGGCCCCCCCACAAAGTGGGGGTATTGCCCGCCTCCTATGAAAACCCTGGCACTGGTGAGAACGGAGTGTCCCCAGTCTAAATATTGTTGTTGTTGTTGTTGTTGTTGTTGTTGTTGAACATTATTAATTCTAAAGAATAATTATTGTTGGGCCCCCTGGTGCACGCCCCCCCTGCGCCGCCTAGGCCGCAGCTACATTTTCATCATTTTCGTGAGGAAGCCTCAGGTAATTCGATGTGATCAAGATCCGGTTGTTTTGTTCCCCCCCGCTTTCCCTTGCAAAAAACACTATAAAATGAAATTTCTTGTTCAAATGTAATCAAATTTCAAGAATCCCTTGCAAAAAATAAGGTAAAGTGGACATTCGCGCGTGCAAGACGAAATCCTTCCAAAAGCTTAGTGTTCGGAGCGATTTCAACATAAAAACATCAAAAAACCAATGGTTTTTCAACAAAAAAAATGTCAAAATCTCATCCCGCGCGCTCTTGCGGATTCGTAGGAAACCCAACTCTTTCTCAACATTTCTGTCAAACGGGCTTTTGCGAGCAACTTTTTTCGAACTTCTGTGACCACGGTTGCGCACCTGCCAGGGCCATCATCCCTGACAAATAATACCATGCGGGACAGATTCGTTTTTTCTTCGCGCGCGCACGCCGAAATCTCCAAAAACCATTGGGCTTCTTAAGAATTTTAGCACCGCGCATCATAAAATCACACGAATCGCACCGTAGGTCCTCGAAAAACACCTGCACGACTTTTCAAAATTTCTACCCGCGCGCGCTGTCCTAACAACTTCTGTGGGTGTGTACTCCACGCCAGTGTAGTAGCCACGGTCGTCCGCAGGCCACGAAGTGAAGTGTCCGAACGTCATAGGGCGGGAAGCTGGGTGTGGGTGGTGGCGAAGAGTCGTGTGGATATTTGGTAGAGCTTGCACTGCCCCCCCACAAAGTGGGGGTATTGGCTGGCGTCGCATGAAAACCCTGGCACTGGTGAGAACACTGAGCGTTCGGGTAAAGTGATTGTTGTTGTTGTTGTTGTTGTTGTTGTTGTTGTTGTTGTTGTTGTTGTTGAACATTATTAATTCTAAAGAATAATTATTGTTGGGCCCCTGGTGCACGGCCCCCCCGCCGCGCCTAGGCCGCAGCTACATTTTCATCATTTTCGTGAGGAAGCCTCAGAAAAGAGGATGTGTCCAGATCCGGTTGTTTTGTTGTAATCCGCTTTCCCTTGCAAAAAACAATAGAAAATGACATTTCTTGTTCTAATATAATCAAATTTCAAGAATCCCTTGCAAAAAATAAGGTAAAGTGGACATTCGCGCGCGCAAGACGAAATCCTTCCAAAACCTTAGTGTTCGCAGCGATTTTAACATAAAAACATCAAAAAACCAATGGTTTTTCAACAAAAAATTGTCAAAATCTCATCCCGCGCGCTCTTGCGGATTCGTAGGAAACCCAACACTTTTTAAACATTTCTGTCAAACGGGCTTTTGCGAGCAACTTTTTCGAACTTCTGCGACAACGGTTGCGCACCTGCCAGGGCCATCATCCCTGTCAAATAATACCATGCGGGACACATTCGTTTTTTCTTCGCGCGCGCACGCCGAAATCTCCAAAAACCATTGGGCTTCTTAAGAATTTTAGCACCGCGCATCATAAAATCACAGTGTAGTAGCCACGGTCGTCCGCAGGCCACGAAGTGAAGTGTCCGAACGTCATAGGGCGGGAAGCTGGGTGTGGGTGGTGGCGAAGAGTCGTGTGGATATTTGGTAGAGCTTGCACTGCCCCCCCACAAAGTGGGGGTATTGGCTGGCGTCGCATGAAAACCCTGGCACTGGTGAGAACACTGAGCGTTCGGGTAAAGTGATTGTTGTTGTTGTTGTTGAACATTATTAATTCTAAAGAATAATTATTGTTGGGACCCCTGGTGCACGGCCCCCCCGCCGCGCCTAGGCCGCAGCTACATTTTCATCATTTTCGTGAGGAAGCCTCAGAAAAGTGGATGGGTCCAGATCCGGTTGTTTTGTTGTAATCCGTTTTCCCTTGCAAAAAACACTATAAAATGACATTTCTTGTTCTAATATAATCAAATTTCAAGAATCCCTTGCAAAAAATAAGGTAAAGTGGACATTCGCGCGCGCAAGACGAAATCCTTCCAAAAGCCTTAGTGTTCGGAGCGATTTTAACATAAAAACATCAAAAAACCAATGGTTTTTCAACAAAAAAATGTCAAAATCTCATCCCGCGCGCTCTTGCGGATTCGTAGGAAACCCAACACTTTTTAAACATTTCTGTCAAACGGGCTTTTGCGAGCAACTTTTTCGAACTTCTGCGACAACGGTTGCGCACCTGCCAGGGCCATCATCCCTGTCAAATAATACCATGCGGGACACATTCGTTTTTTGCGCGCGCACGCCGAAATCTCCAAAAACCATTGGGTTCTTAAGAATTCTAGCACCGCGCATCATAAAATCACACGAATCGCACCGTAGGTCCTCGAAAAACACCTGCACGAATAAGTGACCAAGTTCTGTGGGTGTGTACCCCACGCCAGTGTAGTAGCCACGGTCGTCCGCACGCCACGAAGTGAAGTGTCCCAACGTCATAGGGCGGGAAGCTGGGTTTGGGTGGTCGCGAAGAGTCGTTTGGATATTTGGTAGAGCTTGTAATGCCCCCCCACGAAGTGGGGGTATTGCCTGGTGTCGTATGAAAACCCTGGCACTGGGGAGAACACCGCGCGTTCGGGTAAAATGATTGTTGTTGTTGTTGTTGTTGTTGTTGTTGTTGTTGTTGAACCTTAATTACTAAACAATTATTATTGTTGGACCCCCTATATTCGCCCTGGCGCTCTCGCCGAGGCGCCGGCCGCATTTCCTCTGAAATTGAAGCTCACGCTCAGGCGTTTTGGGGTTCCGCCAAAACCGGCCCCCCAACAACAACAACGCTCCGGCTCGAGACTTCCTCCTTTTTTACTCGGGCTCGGTGCTCTTGCTCGCCGCCGAGAGCGGCTCCCGGGCCGGACGCCCGGGTCGGCGCCCGAGCCGGCGCCCGGGCGCCGGAAAATCGAGTTCCGAGGCGGCGCCGAAAAAAGGCCATTCCAATACACATTTTTCTTTCGAAAATGCTGAATTTCTGCTTCCGGCGCCCGGGAGGGAGGCCGTCCGGGCCGATTCCGGAGCTCGGGCCGGCACCCGGCCCGGCTCCCGGGCCGGACGCCCGGGTCGGCGCCCGAGCCGGCGCCCGGGCGCCAGAAAATCGAGTTTCGAGGCGGCGCCGAAAAAAGGCCATTTCAATACACATTTTTCTTTCGAAAATGCTGAATTTCTGCTTCCGGCGCCCGGGAAGCCGTCCGGGCCGATTCCGGAGCTCGGGCCGGCACCCGGCCCGGCTCCCGGGCCGGACGCCCGGGTCGGCGCCCGAGCCGGCGCCCGGGCGCCGGAAAATCGAGTTCCGAGGCGGCGCCGAAAAAAGGCCATTCCAATACACATTTTTCTTCGAAAATGCTGAATTTCTGCTTCCGGCGCCCGAAAGGCCGTCCGTGCCGATTCTGGAGCTCGGGCCGGCACCCGGCTCGGCTCCCGGGCCGGACGCCCGGGTCGGCGCCCGAGCCGGCGCCCGGGCGCCAGAAAATCGAGTTTCGAGGCGGCGCCGAAAAAAGGCCATTCCAATACACATTTTTCTTTCGAAAATGCTGAATTTCTGCTTCCGGCGCCCGGGAAGCCGTCCGGG